GAGTAGTCCCAGTAGCTGCCAACCTGACCCTACTGATATCAGCAGAAGATGAGCACTAAGCAGATGTGCTGGCCTGGATCTGCATGAGCAGCTTCATTGCTCTCTGGCTCAGTTTCTTCACCATTAGTCTGTTCTCAGAATCAGGTTGGAAAAGTGTGCATTGAATCAAATTGCAATCGATGATCTTGGCTAAATATGCTTACTGAATCGCACAACCAGGGTAGTGTATGTAATCTAGACATGGTTTACACCTTATTCAACATGAACGCTTTGTTTTTCCTCTAAGAATCCCAAAGTTCCTTTGGTGGAGGACCTGCTGCTTCTCAGTAAGTCAAAGCTATATCCAGGGAAAGGAAAGGATTGCTCTCTGATTTAAACCAACCCTCTACTTACACAAACTCTTGGTTAACCCAAAGGACTATTCAGGGACCCTCGGCAGATAAAGCTGGAGTTTTGTTTGTTAGCAAAAAAAATGTTTGAGCTTGTAAAAATAACTAAGTTAGTTTGTGATGAATTCCTTCAGCTTAAAAATTAATAGCAAGGATAAATAACTTCTTAACCACCTAGCCTATGCATTCAGTCCATGAACATAAGGATTTATAACCTTGTTAACAATTAATATCCACTCTTCCTGCAGTTGCTTCTCATTATAGTGGGCTTTTGTCTCTGTACTCTTTTTTTAAATAGCATTTGCTGGATGCATTATGATTTCCTGGTAAAAGACATTAAGTCAGAATCTTGTCACTAATTCGACAAGGTGGTCGCTGTATTTCAGCCACATGCTTTGATATCATCATTAAATGTACAATAAAGCTGCTAATTCCTTAGCTGTTCTGCTCAACACACACAGAAAGGCTCTCAAACCAAGGACAAAAAAAAAGTAGAGTGTAGCTTGACATGCAGACCAGTTTATTAGATCCTCTGTAAGTACATCTGCGAAGAAATGTGTCTCTTGTGTTTTCTCAATATTTGAAACAAGATGATACAGAGAAGGGCACGCAGCCCTCAGCCCTGTGAGACTCAGCTATTGCATAGTCATAAAACAAATATCTGTCTGTTGCTTTCCACATCAAGTATCAACTGTGTGGAAAGGCATACAAAGGCCCACAATCAGTTGTTTAATTAGATTTAAATAAGAAAATAAGAAAACCACATCTGACATTCAGACAGCCTACTTGTGCAGAACTGATATGCTTGATTTGTGAGAATTATGGGCAGTAATCACATTATCATTTCCATTAGATTTTTCACTTCCACACTATCTGTAACTCAAGTGATTCATCTCGTGGGTGAATATAGAGACACGGACAAATACTCGAAAATGCTTTTTGGAGCTGTTTATGTTTAATTTGTCACATAACAAGTTCATCTCACCTAATTTTCCAAGAGCTGAAGCTGTTATTACAAAGACGTACAGAAAACCATGGCCACAGAGTAGCAGAGGGAAGAAGAAACTGGGCTTGGGAAAAGGATGCTAAGAGCCAGCAGCGTGATCCCCTGCACCTCAGGGAGGGATGAAGATCAACAACTGGAAGCAAACAGTTACAGCTCTTTCCTTATCATTTGCGTGAAAAATTCCTGGAGTATTATTAATTTCTGGTGATACTTGCAATCAGTAGATCTCATTCATTTTTTTAAGTTTCACTTATTTGCAGTGAATGGATCTGTTTCTCAGCTGGATAGCTGCATTCATTTTGCAATAATGGTGTTTGTTTGACATCTCAGAAATTAACAATGCAAATGCCTCCGTATCTTCATAACACATTTAAAATAAAATATCTCCTCATACAGAATTGATGTCATGACTGCAAAAAAAAAAGAGCTCTATAATACTCAAAGCATTTTTCAAAGCCCATTATAATGCTAGGCACTTGACTATGGTGAGATTGTCTCTCAGAGCCCAGCTGTACTCCCACAAAAGTGGAGGAAGCCTCCGCAAGGTGTAAAGCAGGATGCAGCCATCTCTGCAGTGGATGCAAACCTGTGCCCAATAGTTCCTGAGCAGCTTTGCCTCCAGATGTGACCATGGCAGCAGATAACCCCAGTGCACCCCGAGCACCCCAATGCTGGGCATTTCAATGAGAATTTGGCAGCCTTATGCTTTGTAATTCAAATTCATGTGGCAATACCAGAAGCTTACTGACAATAAAAGATTTTTTAATGCTCATATTTACAAGTAAGTCTGGAAATGTTCGGTGAACACTGGAAGTGGAAAAGAAAGGAAGAAAAAATAAATGGAAGGTGCTATATTAAAAAAACTCATCATTTTAAAACACAATTAGGAGTAGTAGTAGCAGCAGCAGCAGCAGGGGCTGGAATGTAGTTTGTTAGCACACAGAAATAATGGTGGATCAAATTCCAGCCCTGTCTAACAAGAAAGCTCACGGCCATTCATACTGCACAGTAGATGCTGACCTCCCCTTTCTATAATCCACTAATGCTTGCTCGTTTCTGCATTTTTGTTGTTCCATAACTACGAGGAAAACCCTTTGTGTAAAAGCCATTGATAAATTGTCATTTACTGGAGGCAATAATTTCCTTAAGAATTTGCATAATGTTTTTCCTGGTCATTTACGGTCGTTGCATATTATATTAAACCTTAAATGGTAGATTTTTATTATGCATTAAGCCACAAATAGTATTACGAATCCACCAGCCTCGCTGGAATATTTTCTGTTTCCTGAAATTTAATTGTCTTACAAGCCAAGGCAGCTCATAAGCTTTAATAAGCCTCATTACTAAATTGGGACGTTGAACTGGCAATTTCAGATCACTTACATTAACAAAAACAGACACGTTGCATTGCCAGCAGGCCTGTGAGCACCGAGGCCATGGGAAAGATCTCCAGGGATGGACTGAGGACCTGTCCGGCTTGAAGAGCACTTGAGAGCTTGGACTCAGGTCTTCTCCATGCTTCTAAAGCTCCGGTGTTGGGGACAACGTATGTATTTGTCACAGAATCATAGAAGCATCTGAGTTGATAGGGACCCTTAAAGGCCATCTACTCCAAGCCCTCTGCAAGATACATAAAATATATATAAACTCCAGAATACATATATATAAATATATATAAACTCCAGAATAACATGTTCCTCCAAAAACAGAGGATGTAGGCAGAGGGATGTAACAGCTACAGGATGATGTGACAACTGGCACAGAACAGCTGATGTCCAGGTGAGAAGGAGGGAAAAGGACTTTGGGAAATTGCGTCTTCTTTTTTGGGATCATGGGTTCATGGGGGCTAGTAAATCAACTGGGGCCAATAGTGATGACTGATGTCCCCTGAGAGCTGCTTCAGGAGACAGTAAGTCCATTGGAAGTCTCTCATGGACATCAGATGGCTTTGAGTCAGAGCCCAAGGTTAATCTTAGCTTAAGTTTACCTGGGAGTGTGATTTGTCCTGATGTGAGTAACAAATGCTTGGCCGTCATGGACCACCTCACCATGTAAATTAACTTGCTCAGCTGGACATTCAAATAAAGCTGTTTTAAGAATGCAGTGTACCATAGAAAGCAATTTGTTTCTTTAAGATTTAGGACCAAATGCTTAGTTCGATTTTGATTTTAGAGAAGGCAGCAACTGGCAAAGTGGGTAATTTGAAATTTAACGTATTTCTCCTCCCTGAGATCTGAATGCATTAAAATTAGGTGCAAAGTGCTTCTAATTTGTCAGTCATTCCTTGTGTAATTTTATTCCTCCCAGAAAATTGCCTCTGAGAGTGCTTCTCCTTTCCTCCATCTCTCTTCACCACATCAGGCTCTGTCCCAGCTGTGAGCAGACCTTGCTCCCATCCTTGTTCTTCCCATGGTTCCAGCTGCTGCCCCCAGGTGACACCTCCTTCTTGCCACCTGCAGAGAAGCTGTGTAGGCAGCATAAAGTGGCAACCAAAGGAGGCTTCCATCCAAAAGACAACTGTATGGGAACTGTTGAGTCCCAGCCTGAACCACTGATTGAGCACCTGGGCAAAGGACCCCTGTCAGCCTTGGGAGCACAGGTGAAGGCAATTCAGCTGTGGGACCAGAAGAGGTGAGCCTGGCTGTACCTCTCTTAGACCTCATTTAAGGGCTGGTCAGCTGAGTCTCTTCCTGGAGATCCCTCCCTTGTGGAGTTTTCCTTGCAAGCCTGGATCTTTGGTGATGGGTGAGCACTTTTCCTTTGTAACACCACTACATTCACTCTGGTCCCTTTGCTACTGCACCTCTGTATTGCCCTTCCACTGTGTTTCTGATTGTTACAGGCAACCTACAGAACTACAATTGAAATATCCTCAGGAGAGGAAGGAATGGAGCTATCCGAACACCTCTGAGGAAAAAAAATGATTCTGATGTTTCCCATAAAGCCTGTTAAGTACCAGAAAAGGCACGCTGCAACCTTCTCTTGTCAAGTTCCATCTCACATCTATAGCTAAGGAAGTTCAGATTGATTCCTGATTTAAAGGCATCAGAAATATATGCAGTGTGACATAAAACTAAAGCAAAACACATCAGTTCTTGGGGTTTGTCAAAAACTCTTGCATTTACATCCATTGCACAGAGCAGTTTGGAAAGGTTCATAAAGTCTGAGCCCATGTTTCAGGGCTGCATTTCATGCAAGCTGTGCAGAGACAGATAGTTATCTGCTTGCTTCCAGAAGAGTCCGTGTCAAACACAACCAGATGGTGGATGCAGCTCTGCATTGCACAGAGATACCAGGGATAACCTGTGCTGAGCAGCCCTGCTTTCCAGCTCTGCTCCAGCTCTAACAAACTCAGGTAATGAGTGCTTAACTCTCTGGAACCACAGGAGATCAGCCTAGCAGTAATGTGTAATTGTCACAGAATGTGTCTATCTGTAGCTTGGTCATAAATTCTGCTCAGAATTTTAATGTATTGTTCTTATTTACAATTGGAGACCCCTAAGCTCAGCCTGACCTGCTTTGATGATCTGATAGCAGCTGCCTTTTCTCCAATGCAGAAGTGTTGGTTTTGCTGTAGCGGATTGGTTACTCTCTGAAAGTGGCCAATGTCAGCTCAGGGTAAAATTCTGCTACTGTAGTAACAGGTATGCAGTGCTGCAAAAGGGATGGAAGAGCAAGAAAGATTTCTTTTGAGGGCTTCATTCCTCTTGTGTTCCTTTATCACCTGAGTTTTGAGCACTCCAATGAGTTCTTGTAACTACAGTGCTAGAGTCACCTCCAAATCCAGCACAGCTTGTGCTCCCTGACCTCTTAGGAGTGTGGGGGTTTCGTTGCCTGATTGCATTCTGCATGAACCAGCTTTTCCTGTCTCCTCATCATAGACTGAGCTGCCATCAGTGCTCCTGAGTGCCCCAATGTTTCTTGTGTTGAGAGATATTACAAAGAAGAATATCTATCTGTGGGGGTCACACTCTTCAGGCCCAACCTCTGCCAATGCCAGGGGGATGATGAGCATGGAGGTGTATGCAGAGGCTTGCTATGTAGCCACAAAATGTCAAGTGTTTTTTAAGAACAGAAATAGATGGAATGCAGTGATGTTGGACGACTACTACCCAGAATCAGTTTTCCTAGTTCTCCTCCTTTCAGGAGCTGGTAGCTTCCATCATAAGCTGCCACTTGCCAAGTAAATGCAGCCTTTCAGGTTGGTAAAGGATGCCACAAACGGGCAAATTTACTCCTCCCCTTTCCCTTTTACGTCCTACTCTCTCATTCATCTGGGATAATACAGGTCACTTGGAGGAATTCCTCCCACCTGCTGCTCATCTATAACCTACTGCATTAGCAAAACTCAACTACTGCACAAAGCCAGCAGAGCTGCAGAGGAACTTGCCCCACTCCATCGTGCCTTGTGCACAATGCAGCAAAAAGCCTTCCTTGGTTTTCACCCTTCAGCTCTGGTAGAAGAGGGAAAAGAAAGAGGTTGTGGGAGAAAAAACCTCAAGTTTTGATTTCCAAAATGAGCAAATTGATGTGGAAGTCACAGATGGTGAATAAATATGGGACACAGAATTGTCATTTGGCAGCCAGTTCTGACCAATTTAAGAGGGAAACTGTTATCCAGTTTGGTTCAGGGAAAATATATTCTGGGCAGCAGTTAGTCATTTAAGAGGCCTCATTGTTTCATAAAATATATTTGGGTTTGATACAAACACAGTTAATTCAGCTTTCTAACATTGTGTTTGAACTAAGCCCAGAATATTTGTTGTGAACATTTATTCTTTTATGTCATTTATCAGTTCCAGGTTCTTTTCTGAAGGCTTAGATTTAAAAACAGACTTGCAACAAAGAAAGAATGTTTGGGGTGACTTCAGCGGGTACAGCAAACTCCATTTTGTGCACTGTTTTGAGATGTGCCTCCAAATTATCTGACAAATGATATGTTTCAAATCAAGTCCCTCATTACCCATGCTTTTCTATTACTAAGTGCTGCACTTTCATTTTTCTGGAAGTATTTTCCATTATTATACCCTGTATTTTGGGGACTTCTTAAGCTTTGCTTGCTGGGTGGCACAACTAAAGCAAAGATTTGAATGAGGCATAGCAAAGCCAACAGTTCTGCCAGCTGAATCCAACTGCACTTAAGCTCATGCTTTGGCTTCCCAGCCTTTGAGGAGACAACACGAATGTCTACAGCCCTCCTGCCTCAAAAGCTTCTTCACTCCCAGCTCTCCATGCAGATCTCATTGGTGGTGATTGTGCTTTGGAAGCAGAAAATAAAGAAGAGCACTGATGAACTGGAATGCTAAGTGTTTTTTTTCAGTGTAGAAGCAGCTTGCTGTCTCCCATCTTACTCCATTTTTCCTTTCCCTTTTTGCTTCCTCACCAGTGGCTCCTGCAAAACCCTCTTTTCCAACATGCAGCACTCAGAACTTACTGCAGTTGCAGAGCAGGGGCAGCATCCAAGCTCCTGCTGTACAGCTGCCAATTGCTGACAGTACAGATGACAGAGGGGGAAAATCAAACCTCCATGTGGACATCAGTCCCCTTCTCCAATCTACGTAACTCTGTGGAGAGAGGAATTGGACACAAATATTTCAGTTTGCCATTCAGGTTAGGAGCCTCATGGTGTTGAGCACTGCAACTGATGCTGTTCCGTGACCAAAGGGAACTGAGCTTCAAAGTCAGTTCACAAAGCCTCTGCTGCTGTATGCTATCCTTCACCGATGGGGAATCAGCACTGTGTGTGTGTGTGTGTCACAGCTGATCTGCAGAGCACAGCACTCTGTCCCACACATCACTGCTAATTAGTGAGATTCCTGCTTCAAATTAGTGACGCCAAAACACTTTGAGATCCACACATGAAAAGAGCTGCAAAGGCCAAAGTGTTACTCAGCTCTTTGGTCACAGTGTTTGAAATAGATATCCTTTAATAGCCCCTAACAAACAGGTAGTTGGTAAATGAGCCCTGTCCCAGCCTCCCTCAGCATCACAAGAAGGCAGGAGGGGGCCCTTTGAAGCTCCTCTGCAATTACAGCCCGGTGCTGATGAGCCGTGCTGGGCAGAGGCACTGCAGTGTTAATGAGTTTCAAAACACACACATGAACCTGAGCGATTAGGACTCTCTGAAATACCTTCAGTGAGAATCCTCACTGAGACAAAAATAGGTATCTGGTTTATTAAATATCTCCAAGATGAAAGCAACTTCTGAGTGTATCTTCTCTGCTCACCACATTATCGTATCTGTGATAAAAAGGCCAGTAGAGCTTCTTGGCTTTGGAACTCGTCATGCAGTGATTAATGTTGGTCTTTTTTCTTCCTGTTAGATGGTATCAGTGCAGAGGAGAGGAAAGAGGTACCAGCACTGTTGGTCATAGGTATATGGCACCTTTCTAGTTAGCAGAAAACAGAAAGGACAGCTAGATTATCAACCATCTGTTCACTAACAAAAAAAAAGTCAATTACTACCATGAAGAAAAATACATATTAAGTTCATGGCATATTTACTCTATAAATTGTCCATCCACGCAGACTTGGAGCTCTTCTCTGAATACCTTCAGATCCTGGTTGGAGATCCAAAAGCCCTGGATTGCTTTCTGCTTGAACCCACTGCAGCTCACTGCTCCTCCCACAGCCCTGCCAGCTCTCGGAGTCCCATCCCTTCTCTCCTCTGTTCTGCAGAAGCCCAGAGGTGCCTCCTACCTCCCTGCCCATCTCAGGCTGCCAACACAAGTGCAGAAGCTCCAAACCACCCAGCCCTGCCAAGAGCTGGCTCCTGCCTGTGCAGCTCACTAGCCAGAGGCAAATACATGAACTTTAGCGATTATCTAGTGGGAATATTCCAGGAATTTAGATTTCAGCCACAGCAGTAGGGCCATACATCATTAAAGCTGCCTCTCCCGCCAATGTAAAAAGCAAACAGTGATGATTTAAATCAAGGTTCCCCGGTGGCTCATTTAAATCACTTGGATGGAAATCAGTCCACCTTGTCACCGAGGCAGAGGTAGGAACAGAAGCTGTGGATTCATGACTCCCAGGTCAACGCTCTGCATTGCACGCAGACCAGGTGACAGTAAATCCTGTGAGGCACAGGGCATAATAAGCAACTTTGTGAGGAGATGAAGGCTGCTTCCTATGGCATGCAGATTGTGTTTAGAGCTGCTTGGGTCTGCAAAGCGTGACTGTGGCCAGAGCTTTTCCTGCAGTCATGGTGTGTACCATGGTGCTCCTGGGTGTCTTATGAGGGTTGAGCTCATGAATCAGCCTAATTTCTGTGAAACCTGTGAAATTAAAACACATTTGGGAGACATGGTAGGCAGACATGAGCCCATAAACTTCTCATGGTCCAGAAACTGGGTTGGACACCAACCTGCCCCATCAGAACCCAGCCACAAGCAGTGTGTGCGCAAGCAGCTGCCCACATTTTGACCAGCTTGTTTGATGGCTCCAGCATGGAACAGGTGACAACTGACTTCAGTCCCTGTGACATTGCATTCAGATGGGTGACCTTCACAGGTGCTGCAAAGAAATCTTTCCCAGCTTATGAACAAATAGATGAAAAGCAGAGGGAAAGAAAATGAAAGATGGAAGTAATGTCACATCAGTGTTCTCTCCAGCACTGGTTTATGGGAGTGAGAGGGAGAAGAAGGCACAGACTTAAATCCCTCTGACACTTCTGGCTGCTTAGTTTCCTTGTCTTCCATTTCATGATGCAGCTCTGGCTGAACAGGGCTCATACAGCATTAACTGTCTCCCACACTATATAGAAAGCTGATGCAATCTACACTCCATAAAGGGGAGAAAACCTCCACTGAAAACAGCAATCTCATGTGGCAGAAACAATTTCTGCTGAGGTGCCTACAGAAAGCTCAGCAGTGCTGGGAACCAGCCAGGCAGGTCCCATCATAGGAACGTGTCCCATCTGCACGAACACTTCAGTACCTCCTGAAGTGATTTCAGCCACTACTGTTTTGCAGATTAACAATTTGTTAATGAGGATTTTACTTCCTATAAGTGGGCATCAGCTGACTCTGCTTAGGGAGTTTTCAACCTTTCACTTTCCAGTACTCAAAGGCAAAAATAATTTGTTCTTATTTGTATTAGAGCAAGGGCAGTAATATTATACTTCTTCCAAAGGAAGAACTTACAGGTATTACTCTGCCTTTCAGATATTAATTTGCCTTTCAAATGCTTTAAAACAGAGGTGGAAGCATGGAAGCCAATAAACATCCAAGATCTGAGAGCTTACAGTGTTGGGAAGGCCTTGAGCTAAAATCTGGTGCCTTGTCTGAACTTAGAACCACAGAATGGAATCATAGAATCATCAAGGATGGAAAAGAACTATCAGATCATCTAGTCTAACTGTCAGCTCAGTCCCACCATGCCCACTGACCACATCCCCAGGTGCCACATCTCACAGTTCTTGAACACCTCCAGGGGTGGTGACTCCACAGGCAGCTGTGCCACTGCATCACCACTCTTCCGGAGAAGAAATTTCTCCTAATACTCAACCTGAATATCCCCTGGCTCAACTTGGAGCCATTCCCTCTCATCCTATCACTATTACCTGGGAGCAGAGGCTGACCTCACCACAATCTCTTTTCAGCCTCCTTGTAGAGAGTGAACTTGAGTTATTGTTATTCTGCTCAATCTACAGCGTAGCCCCACCAGTCCCCCCAGTGCCACCTCTCCCCAGGATGCTGAGCCCCAGCTGATGGAATTAGTTCTTTTCTGAACTGCTGTTCTACCCATGCAGCTTCCAGCCATGAAATGATAAATCAAGAGCAAGGCAGCTTCCTCATCACACCTCTAGGAGGTGGGAAAGGACCTGAGTGTTCAGTGCCTTCTTCCATATTCCTGGTAACACAGTGACCTTTCTCTCTGCAGCTAGCAGCATCACATGGGATCAGCACAGAAAGATCAAAGAACACCATGGTAAAAAGTGATGGGCAATGAGCAGGCTGCGTATGAGTGAGAGCAGGAGGAAACATGATAAACCCATGCTGAGACCTTTGAAGATAAGGGATAAGAGGCTAAAGCAGAGAAGTCCGTAGAAGAGTATAAATATGACTGGGGTATGGCTGGAGCTGCGAGATCTGTTAAATTGAATTTCTGTTGTGTGTAACATCCCTTGTATATGTTAATCTGTATGTGCTCTAGCAGCCTGATTTAGTGTTATTATCAAAAAGGGTTCCTCGACCGCCTTTGTCAAAGGAAGATTACAAATTATTCCAGATAAGTAATGCAACTAAAGACCCTTAAAACTAATTGGCCATTGTGCAATCCTGTTAATATCCTTTCTTGTCTAACAAAAACCTAGAAGGCAATTACAGGCAAATAACAAAAATCTGTATCTGGTCTCTTACATGAAAATATGATTTATATGCCCTTGACTTTTTCTTTCAAGAGAAGAAAAGGTGGCAAACGATCATCCATCAGTAGCTAACATACCCGAGGAAACGATAGCTACTGAATTAGCCCTGAAACAGGAATGGTTTAAAGACGACCCTCCCCAAGGCTTTCCACAGAAATTTCCATTGGGTGCCCTCATCAGGTAAGGAGCCCAGCTATTAACTGCGCCTTAACAAGGTTGAGCTCTGGTGTTTGGTGTGCTATAGCTGTTTCCTGGCAGTGTGTCTACACTGTGTGCATGTGTGTTGTGCTCCATCACATTCGTACAGACATCAGCAGAAGAGAGCTACTTTTGGCTGCACGTGTTGCATCAAAGGTGATTCCCTGTGTCATAGATTGGTAGAATCATTAAAGTTGACAAAGATCTCTAGGATCACCAAGTCCACCCCACCATACCCTCTGTGTTCCTCAGTGCCACATCTCCAAGGTTCTGGAACACCTCCACAGATAGTGACTCCCCTGCCTCCCTGGGCAGCTGTGACACTGCATCACTACTCTTTCTGAGAAAGAATTTTTCCTAATAGCAATCTGAACCTCCCATTGCACAACTTGAGGTCATTACCTCTCATCCCACTGCTGTTACCTGGGAGAAGAAACTGACCCTACCTCACCACAACCTCCTTTCAGGAGATTTAGAGAGTGATGAAGCCTCTCCCAGTTCCCTCAGCTGCTCCCTATAAGACCCCAATGTGCACCAGGTCCTTCACAGCTTCATTGCCCTGCGTGTTGTTGGGACAAAAGGAGTTGGCTCAGGGACATCACTCTATGAGCTGGTGCTGGCTGTGGAGGCCTTGTTGGAATCACCTGGCTCAATTTGGAAGAAATCAGGTGCAAGCACAGGGATTTCTCATTTGATAAATGAGATAATACAAGATTAAAAGAGAAGAGATTAAGCTAATAGCTCTTCTGGGTTTTTAAAGTTGTCTAGAATTCCATGCTTTTTTATTTTATGCCCCCAAGCTAAAGCAGACTTCTGGTGCATCAAAACCTTTTGCATCTCACCTGCAGTGCTGTTTGCCTGATAAACATCACTGCAATGCTGTGCAAGGGCTCCATCAGGTTGTCATCCTAAACAATACCTCAAAGCTCTGTTTATTCCTAAAACTTACAACAGAATTAGTTCTGGAAACCCAAGGAAGTAGGAGACTGGAGTAAGAAAGATCAGTCAAGGCAGACTTTGACAAAAGAACTTTCTCTAGAGTGGAGCAAAGCATTCAGGTTGTGTCAGATGAAATTCTCCTGCACCCAAAGGGGTTCTGGTCACTGCATTTTGTTATCATTGTAACGGCCAACAAGCACTGAGTGACTGCTGTGGCTCTGCAGTCCAGGTGGGCATGTACATCTACAGACATATTTTGTCTTTAATGCACCAGGTTGCATTTTCCCTATGAGGCAGAGTCTTCAGCCTCCCTTGTAAAAGGGATCTTAGGAAATGTCATTTAAATTTCAAGGACCTCTTAGGGATAGTTGCTAATGGTTATGCTAATTGGCATAGGGTCTGAGTGACAGTTATGTCCTGGAATGATTTGCAAATCACATTTTCTTGGAGCTTATTAGCAGACTCATTAACTGTACAACAGTACATTACTTTCAGAAATTCAGATCTAAGCAGAAAATTAAAATTATTTGCTAAATGACCTAATAAAATTGAGCAAAATGTGCTGAGAAAGTAGAAACTGAGGTATATCAAGACACCAGATTTTGGCTAAAAATAATTTCAATTTACCATTGATGTTCACCCCTACTCTGGGAGTATTTTTAGTCCAGGTAAAACTCAGTCAGAAACCAACTTGTCACACCTGGAGCCAGCATTAAGATTTACTGCAGTCTTGGCCAGGACGTTTTCCTAGCAATGCATCCCGTGCTCCCTTCTGCACAGCCCTGAGTGATTAAGGCATGATATCCAACTTCCTTCTGCCTTCGTCCCAAACTTCTGCCTTCGTCCCTGCAACTTATCTGAATGAACATATATTTAAAGTGTTAGAAAAACTGCCAGGATTTTATGCTATTTGCAAACACACACTGCAGTGTGAATGTATGCTTCCATTAAATATATAACAATATATATAACATGATGCCAAGATGAGCAGTGCCAGTCTTTGAGGGAAGAAGCATCTGAGGAGTAACCTTTACAACAGTGTGTAAGCGCATCGCATTAATGCTCCAAATCAAAGTCTGCTCCAGGAAAGCCCTTGTACATCCAGCTGTTATGGACTGAAGTCCCATATCTGCGTATCTGGAATGATACCCCCAATATCTGAAATTGGAGAGCCAGGTGAATGGTTTTCAGCATCAGTTCTACCTGCTTCATTTCTTCTTTTGTTTCTCGGCTCTCTATCCACGAAGGCAACCCCTACTATTGTAAAAGACATTAAAGTCTTCACGGAGGATGTCAGTGCACAAAGGACAGGAATCTCTGTTAACCTCTCAGGGAACTCAGACTTCACCTCCTATTCAGAATTAAATGAGGTGATTTCTGTTGGCTCTGGATTTTATTGCAAAAGGTTTAAATACCTCTACTTAAGAAATGTTGAGCTGTGGCAGCAGTAACTGATGAGTGCACAGTTTTCTTGGCACAATGAAGTGTTTGAAAAATTCTCAGCAGTTCCCTGCTTCTCACGGGCATTGTTGCACTTGCAATTTATGTAGAGGTGAATAAAACACATTCTGGTTTGTGACACTTTTTCCCTGGAATTTTTTTTCTCATGCACATAACAGCAGGTTTTAAATAGAACCCCTAGGATATATTCTTTTTTTCATTAAAGAATTTCAAACGAGAAGATCTTTAAATTTAAACCTTCTCATCCTCACAAAACTGTTTTGCTAAAGAAGGAATCTGATATCATTGAAGCGATGTACAATTAAAAGCTTTTTTTCCTGAATGAGAAGTTCAAAAGAACTAACTTTTGAACAATTTCTTTTTTTAAAAAGGAAGCTGGAATTAAATATTTTGATGTCTTATAAAAAAAATCACTACACATAAAAAAATGCATTCAGCTCTAGTGGTTTGGAACTGAAATGCTTGAAACTGCGACACTCTCAGTAAGCGAGGAAATCTGTCAGGAAAAAAAGTGCTTTTAAAACATTCCATAGTTTCAGTATTCAAATCACAGAATCAGAAAGGCTGGAAAAGACAGCAAAGATCACCTGGTCCAACAATTAACCCATCGCCAATACACCAATTAAACCACATCCCTCAGTACAACACAGATAACATTTCACACACCTGTGGCGTCCTTTACATAACAGCAGATCTGCTCTAGAAGAGTCACTGCAGATCACAGACATAAGGCCAAATGGGAGAAATTACTGAAGCAAGAGAACCATGAGCAGATGGAGAAGTCACCCCTGGAAATGAGACAGCCACATGTGTTGGGACCAACCCACCCCGGCACCCAGCAGCAGGCAGGCTGTTGTAACACACTCTGCTATCACAAAATGTAGGAAGGACCCATCCTTATGGGCTGGGGTTGGTCCACTGAAAGCTTTTTTTCCTCAAACTGTACTGCAAATGCTGCTTTAATCCAACTATTCCAATACAATCCAGACTTACAGTGCGTATACGCTGCTTTGAGCAATCTCACTTGGAGAGGCCAAGTCTTTAATAGCACTGATGTCATAGGGGAAAGCAAGCTATAGGGAAATCTGCCCTTCAGGAAAATCCTCTACATGCTCCTTATGACATAATTTGTCTAAATATGTTATAGTCTCCCATGATAAATATGGAAACCTGTAGGAAAGAACCTGGGAGACCAGCACAAGAGCAGGGACCCTGCAAAATGTGTTCTTTAGCAACATACAATCAATAGCTGTACAATCAACAGGCGTACAGAGGTTAGGTGCAGTCAGATTATCACAGTGGAAAGATAATCAAAACAAATGGAAACGCTCACCGGTGTCACAGGCTGACAGCAAACTCCACAAGGAGCAATCTCCAGAAAGAGATCCTTCCTCAGTGGCAGTCAGCACTTAATTGGGATCTAGGAGAGCAGCAGCCAGGCTCCACCCCTTCCAATAGCACAGCTGAACTGCCCTCACCTGTGCTCCTGTGGCTGAACCATAGCTTGCCTCAGGTGGTCAATCAGAGTTTCAGGCCGTTCCCATACAGGCAACCAGCATGGAAACAACAGAATCATGTCAAAAGCAAACAAACAGCATGGATGAATGGTGCCTCAGGATCCAGATATCCCCCCAAACTGGACTGGACCATGCACAGAAGGATTAGCCAATGACTCATCTGACCTGATACCAAAAGAGGGTCAAAGCCAAAATGCTTGCCTGAGAGTCCAAACATCACTGGTGCTCTGAAAGCCGGATGAGGCGCATCTGTTGGGTGCCAAAGAACAACGAGTAGCCCATGGGGTGGCCAGGAAACAGACACACCAACTTGTGTTCCTGCCTCTTCCTCCAGCAACCAAATCTAACATGGGCAAACAGAAACCCATGTCCTAGGCAAGGGAAGCATGCCCTTATCTTAGGAAGACTAATGATAGTAGATAAGGTATAGTTCAGACTTGAGATACTTGAGACCCAAGAAGACCAGTAGTGCTGCCTTTACACTTGTTTAAGCTTCATGGGCTGTCTGGATGTCCATAGAGACAAAGCAACTGCTTGATAGCAACTTTCATGTGGCGCCTTTCACACTAGCCTCTTTTCACATTAATGACCCATATATCTCCATATACATTCAGCTTCAGAAGTTACTGAGCATATTGAAAAAACAGACTAATTGTTTGGGAGACTGCTTGCAAAGTTAGGAACTCACCAGTACACTTCTGCATGGGGAAAACTTGTTCTAACTTGATTTCTATTTAGATCATTCTATTACTGGGAGAAAGAAACCACCAAACTCCACACAGGTCTACAAGTTTGCTTCACGAGGCCCTTCTTTCCTAAGATTTTCATTCAAATCTGTGTCCTGGTTTTGGCTGGGGATAGAGTTAAATAGAGGTACGTGGTTGGTGGTGCCAAGTTTTGGATTTTGGATGAGAATAATGTTGACAACACACTGGTGTCTCAACTGTTGCTGAGCAGTGCTCACACTAAGTCAGGGACTTTTCAGCATCTCGTGCTGCCCTGTGGGTGCACAAGGAGCTGGGGGGAGGGAACCAGGACAGCTGAACCAAACTGGTCTAAGTGATCTCCCACACCATTGGTGTTGCACTAAATGATAGAACCAGGGGAGCCAGCCAGGAAGGGGGCACTGCTCAAGGACTGCCTGGGCATTGGTGGGATGGCAGGGAGCAATTGTGTTGTACAATGCTTGTTTTGTGTTCTTTCCTTATTATAATTATTTTCCCTTCCTTTTCTGTCCTACTTTTATCTCAACCCATGAATTTTATCTTTTTCCAATTCTTTCCCCCATGCAGTGGTGTGCTGCTTAGCTGCCTGCTGGGTTAAACCACAACAATCTGCAAGCTACAGCCATTGTTTCAATGCATTCAAGCTATCCACAGGCTGCATTATTCTAATGATTTTACAAGAGGAAAACATTTCCAACATTCACCCTTCTTAAAAGTGTACCTGAGTATTAGCAACCCATCCAGCTGGCTAGTTGCAGTTTCTCCCTGCAGTTCCGTCTTCCCACTATTTCTGTGCCTGTAATAATAAAAACAAGGCAATAATTTAGCTCCCATGTTTGTTGTACCGAAGCTTGGTTTTTATCCCACTCTCTTATCTTCTCCATTCAGAGCCAATGTATCTCATTGCTTTGCAGCAAACACGGTCAGAGATGAAAGATTCTGCCATATATTTTCCTTCATATTAAACCATAAGGCTTTATCCTTCTCTTTTTTTCTTCAGTCTTGGACTTTATTGTTTCTAGCTATCTCTGCCACGTGTGATTTTGGCCTTCGTGCGGAGGTGAATATGTGCATTTCCCTATTTATCCTTTTTATCACTACCAAACAATATTGGGAGCACTTTAAAATAACTGGCCACTGAACGCTGGTTCAGAAGTTATTTGATGCAATAACCATACCAGGGCAGACTCATGTTATGCAGATATCAGAATAAAGCATTGTGGAAGGCTTGCAGTATTTCTATACATTCTCTTTACCAGCCTAACACATAACTGCATCACAGCAGAACAAAAATCACATAGAAGCAGTATTGCCAGGCCAGATCCTGCCCACTGCAGTGCAGAGAATGAACCCAGAGGATGAGAACTCAGATAGGGCTCAGCAGGAGCTGTGGGACTGGACAAGCCACATGATGTTCTCCTATCAGCTAAGCACAGCCCAGCTGCAGGTTAGGATTAAAATTCTTGATCACTCGGTGGAACAGTTAATTCTTTTTACCTCTATCTTCTCCCTTCAGATCTCAGATGGGTTTTTTTATTGGAAGGAGCAGGGTTTGCTGGAGACGCAGTGGACATCATTTCTATCCCACTGAGGCAAAAATGGGGGTCAAGAAAAGAAGTGGAGTTTTAGAAGCTATTTAAGTAATAGTAGTTCACCTTTTAAATTTGTACGTGGAGAAATGAATGAAAGAGAAGCCAGAAAGATCAGGGTGCCTGAAGGATTAGCATCTGATTTCGGTTTAAAGGAGTAATCACATCACCTAATTCAGTCTCCAAATGCCAGAAGCTGTGTTTCTCAAGAAAATGAAATGAATTGGTTATACCAGAGGGAGGAATGCTTAAACTATGAAACTCATAAGCACTGCTCAGCTATGTCTTATCCTAATTCTTCCTTTTCTGTTGTAGTTCCCAGCCCTTTCTGACAGGGCATGTCTCAGCCAGCTCCTCACCAGGACAGCAGCACACCAGGATGAGTGTGCCCCAATAGCACACCCAGCCTGCCCCGAGAACCACCCCAAGAGTGGTGATGCAGTGGCACAGCTGCCCAGGGAGGTGGTGGAGTCACCATTCCTGGAAGTGCTCCAGATGTGTGGAGATGTGGAACTGAGGGATAGGGTCAGTGGGCATGATGGGATGTGTTGGGGTCGGACTTAGCGATCTTAATGTCTTTTCCCATCTTAATGATTCTGTGATTCCATCTGTAAATAGATGGCAATGGTTTGCACTCATCCAGTGTAGCACCAGTATTCCTAGCCATAACTGACCTTGTGCACAACTTCCAAACAACCAAGGCTCACTTGTTTGGCAGTCCTCCTATGCACATGCAGAAAGCCAGGTATGGCTGGATGCCATCTGGGCTGTGCTGGCAACCACACTGCTGTCTAAACAGTGCACAGAGAATTGGTCAGCCCACAAAACCATCAGGTGCCCATTTCACAGAGAAAAGCTACAGCTTTCCCATGGATGCAGTGCTCATGTGCCACAATGAGTTCTCGCTCATGTGCTTTGCTGTTGTCCACCCACTGTTCAGCTGAAACAGTGGGTTGGAATGAGAGAAATGGAGACCCAATGGGGAATGTTGCTGCATGTGAATTCCTGTTCACACCTCTAATTAGTGTCAGTAGAATTGCCAGTGGTGTGGTCACATTAATTACAATGTGAATGACAGCAACAATAGCTTTGAGACTAAGAACGATTTCACTAGAGTGACAAAGAGGACATATCTTTGACACAACACTAAAACTGAACATATTAAAAAATAGTGATTTAAAGATTGCAATATTTTCATATTAAAATTATCTATAGTATAGCAGCAATAGAAAAGGTAATATGAATGGAAAAACACAGTTCAGAAATACAGTTTGTATTAGTGGTAATTCCAGAAGTTTCTTACAAGAAGAAGCTATAAATACGTTCATGGTGGCCATTAAGTCTCCCAAGATCTCAGCTGGTAGGCACCATCTGTTCTTCTGGCCTTTGCTGCAGAAGGCCATCCGTGCTCTGCAAGCACAAGTGCACAGGACCTTTTGCATGCTGGAAGCTGCATGGTGCGAGGAGCAGGAGCATCACCACAACACAGCTGAGGGAGCTTGAGGGGTGAGTATGACCATGCAAGAGTCCAGTTCTCAGCTCCCTTGATCATGGAGAGCCTGGGTCTTCCTAGCACTGTTCAGTGACCACGGCTGGGTGGAGGCAGCCCAGTGTCAGTGCTTGGCCATGCAGATGTAGATGAGGATGTGTCCTGTCAGAGGGTACCTCCACCGGGCAGTGTCAGCTGTGATGGTGGCACAGGTAGACATGCCCATGGTCGCTCTGATCTGTCACAGGCAGCCAATGAACACTTGCAGTGCGTCTCTCCCAGCCCAGCCAGCTGCAGAGATCTGGAAATGGCTGTGGCTGGTAGGGCAGCCTGAGTTGCTACTCCTATTGCCCAAGGAGGTCGTGGATGCCCCATCCCTGGAGGCATTCAAGGCCAGGCTGGATGTGGCTCTGGGCAGTCTGTTCTGGTGGTTGGTGACCCTGCACATAGCAGGGGGTTTGGAACCAGATGATCACTGTGGTCCTTTTCAACCCAGACCATTTTGTGATTCTATAATTCTATGACCTTGGCTGGAAGAAGGCAATTCCTATCACACTTCCCTAACGTCTTCATGCAAAAGGAAACAACGTCCAAAACAATACAGACAACTCAAAGCTTGCTGCAAGCAGCATTCTGCCACAGAGTGTTAACAACATTGGGATTTTTTTGTTTTTTTTTTTTCGCATGGAGGCACTTTGCTGTCCATTAGTATCCCTGGTTCTCCTGTGCAGAAGTGCATTATCTCTAACATGATAGAGCTGACAGTTAGCGAGAGCTGTGCAGCTCCCCAATGGTTAAATCTATGGAAAACCTCTGGTGTTTAATGAAACCCCTATGGAGACCTCCATATTAGCCATGGTTTAATGCTCCGTAATGGCAGCGAGTAATTTATCTATGAGCCACAACTCCCAGTTCTCTGTGCATTAAGAGTTATTTATGAGGTAATTTTAACAGTTTCACACTGGCTGGTCATTATGTTTCTGAAGGCTAACTGTCGGCAATTGTAGCATGGGAGGAGAAAAATACTTTCCCTGTCACTGCCTGAGTAGTAAACAGTGACACGGGAGTGCTGGCGTGTGGGCAGGAGCACAACTGGGAAGGGATGGCAGAAGGAAAAGCTCCACAGGGCACCTTTCCTCTCCATCCTCTTGTG